AAGTCGATTTGATGTTTGAACGAAAACAATGTCGGAGGTTGCACTCGAGGTTATCCACCGTCGCGTGAAAGGAACAAATTTTAACTTGATTGGCAGTATTGTTGAATAAAAACTCGTACGGCGTCGGAAAGCCCATGAAAAGCGCCTCGTCAGGATAGGATACTTCTTGCTTCGCCGCAAATCACGCGAGTATTATTAAAATGTAAAAGAAGCTGCCGAATGCAAAATGGCTGCCGATCTCCCATCAGCTTATTTTTATAAAATGGAGGGTATATTTTGATCAGACCGAAAGGACACCTATCCTGTTCGAAAGCTGGTTTAGTAATCTCGTTAGTAACGAACTCGTTCAACAATGCAATCGCTCGGCTTACGTGAAAATTTGTTTTGTTTGCGCTCCGGCGGGGCCTCCGAGTGGTCTGTTGGTTCACTATAATCAAATTATCTCGGCCAAATGAAACCGGAGGTGGATTGTAAAAGTACCTTGGTAAAGTTTGAACTCTGCCCTTTCGCGCGATACCGGTACCACTCATGCCGTTGGTAAAATTATCAAACAGCTTCAAAAAGTGCGGAAAAGACGTGCGTGTGCTCGACCGGCTGGCGCGCGGCCCGGGACGCGCATGGTGTGCGGCCTGAGCACTCCGTTTCTACCCCCTGCCAGAACTCTTCATGATTTTTTTGGGAAATCACAACGCTTCTTCGTTGTCAGAAATGATTAACTTCAGGAAGTATAACGATTGGTGCAGAACTATTTCAAAGTGAGAAAGCAAAATGCACTATTTCTGATTACAGTGAAGTGTTGTGATTTCACAGTTGCTTTGTATCGATGGAGTGTTTGGAAATCACAAAATAAGCCGAGGCCTTACGCTTACCGTCCTTGCCTGCCGGTTCGATGAAAAGTCACTTTCGCAACTCCAAAGAAAGTAAGTAAGAGTTGTGGGCTAAGTTATGGTCATTTCCGTCGTGATTGCACTATTCTTGGTTCATTTTTGGGCCATAAGATGACAGAATTCGTAAAATACGACGATGGATTCGGATTCAACGGACGTTGGATGCCTCTCGACGTAAACGCCCCGTGAAGCAGTGGTTCCATTGATCCGATCGGGTTCGGGTTTGCGGCTTATGCTGTTTTTAAGGAGTACCTTAATCCGAGTGAGGCCCAAAAGAAATCAACACAACTTGTTTTTTTGACCACAAGTTGGTGTTTAAATTATGAACACTCGTTTTACCTGTGAAGGGTGCAAGTTTTAGTGTAACCTACAAAAGACGTGTTTGTAAAAATTATAGAGTGTATGGAAATGGTGGATTCCACATGGAAGACACAAAAAACCCGTTCATTCACTGACTGCTTTTTCAGCTGGTCACACGTGAAAGTTCAACTAATTATCACGAGTAATTAGCAGTAAAAGGCAGGTGCAGTTGGTCTGACAAAGATTGACCTCGACACGCCATTGGTCTGGCCCCTATCCGGCAGTAGCATCGTCACATGGGAAGCGACAATGCGAGCAGCGTGGTCTTCGATATTACTCCTATTGTTCACGGGCACCGTCATCTCAAAACGATGGATTCATTCGGTTGCGGTAAGCTACGGCCAATAATCTAACTGTCAAAAAATTCAGATTGGAATTAAAGTTTTTGTAATGTCATTATTACAAGTGAAAGGCAAGACCCTGTACACCAAGTCTGGTGTTGCGATACTTTCAACACAATACCTGGTGTTTTGCGATTCCCACGCTAAAGGGCACGATAACCCTAAAAAATGTGATGAAAGTGTCACAAAAATTATCACATTTTTTTGGAGTTATCATGCCCATTAGCGTGGGAATCGCAAAACACCAGTTATCGCAAAAATTCAGTAAAAGTATCACAAAACAGATTTCAGTGTAAGCTTCGTCGTTAAATTTAGTAAGAACTATGGTTTGCATAATTACATTCTATAGTTTTTGACGGGTGGAAACATTTCTCTCAATCTAATGACACCAAGTACTAGAAAAACTTTCTAATTTAAAAGTAACTCAAAAAACACTGCTTGTCTTGCGCCGTATTTATTCCATTCATATCTAAAGAAAAAATTGTTACACTTTATTTCGTAGCCCCATTTGATTATTTAAGTGTTCAAGATAGATTATTTCTTTACCATGTAAAAATTTTATTTGGTTTTGCAACAATGCCTACTATTGAAAAAGCGATGTTCGTAGGCGGGGAATCCGGGAATAGTTTTGGTCGCTCGTTAAGTTTTTAGAAGTTAAATTAAGGATGCCTCAGCCAATCTCTTTTAGGTTTTGAAATTTCATTACATAAAATGATAAAAAAAAAATTTAAACAACAAGCTAGGTCCGCTCTCCCGCCAAACCAAGTTGCCAGCTCCGCTTCGCTCCACCGGCAACTCGGTTCGGCAGGGAGCGGGCCTAGCTTGGCCTGCCGGTGGCGTTTGGGACGGCTTCTGATTTTTCATGGTGTAATATAGCTTCCATCGGATAACGGGCCTTCGGCCCATTTGAGTGACGGCTCGCTCTATACCATCTTTTTACCAGGTACCTTT